AAAAAAAAAAAGAAATTGTAGGAAGGAAAAAAACGAGGTTCCCTTTGCTTGCTCAGGTTTAGCCAGGTCAGGAAAGCCCTTTTTAAGTGAAAACATTTTATTTTCTTCTATTTTTTTTTTTTTTGGTAATATTTACTGTTTTATTTTTGAGAGAATGTGCACATGTGCTCAAGCCAGGGAGGGGTAGAGTGAGGAGGGGGGAGAGAGAATCCCAAGAAGGCTGCACGGTGTCAGTGCAGAGCCCAATAGGGGGTTTGCTCTCATGAACCACGACATCATGACCTGAGCTGAAATCAAGAGTTGGTTACTTAACTGATTGAGCCACCCAGGTGCCCCAAGACCTAGCCACCCTTAACACATGTGTGATGTTGGTAGCTAACCTTTACCCTCTCAGCCTCATCCTATTCTCAGTGGTAGAAGTACAAAGGGCCAAGACACTGGAAGAGGTTTCATAACCAACCAATAAATATTGACTACCTGTTACGTTTGTTGTTGTGCTATTTCTTATTACCAAAGACAGTACAAAAGGTGTTTTATGCATTATTGCCTGTAGAAAGATACATATTGTCAGCATAGGAAGTTGATACATTTTAACTCAGTTAACTAAGAAATTGAACCCTTTGGCCTCTTTTGGATTCTTTCACACTGACCTAAAAATTATCTTCCTTGAGTGATTACAATGTGAAATGGTTGAAAAGTAGGCTTCAGAAGAGAAGCATTGGGATTTCTTTCTAAATAGTGATGTAGGTGTTGAGATGTTAAAGCTTGAGAGATAAATTCACTTCTAAAGGAGAGTTGCTGTCCATTCATTTAATATATCATCCTAGAACATGTGGCTGGGTTTTTTCCCCCACTTTTCCCTTCTTCCTAACTCTTAAGTACAAAAATAAGTAGCAATTAAAATAACTAAGACTAAATTAAAATAAAAAATCAAAAGATTAAAATCCCCTTCACAATATTTTAATCTGGCAGTGTGTGGGTTCTTAAGGATAGCTCATAAAGGGGGCACCTGGGTGGCTTAGTCATTTGAGCATCCGACTTCAGCTCAGGTCATGATTCACAGTTCATGAGTTCGAGGCTCACACCCGGCTCACTGCTGTCACCCTGTCAGTACAGAGCTCGCTTCTGATCCTCTATCCCTTTCTCTCTGCTCCTCCCCCACTTGCACTCTCCCAAAAATAAATAAATATTAAAAAAAAAAAAAAGAATAGCTCAGAAGGAACGTCTTTCTTTCTTTTTCTTTCTTTCTTTCTTTCTTTCTTTCTTTCTTTCCTTCCTTCCTTCCTTGCTTCCTTCCTTCCTTCCTTCCTTCCTTGAAAGCGAGAGCAAGCACATGCGCTTTCAGCTCAAAGCCCAGTGCTGGTTTCTGTCTCACAAACCATGAGATCATGTCCTGAGCTGAAATCAGGAGTCCAGTGCTTAACCAGCTGAGCCACCCAGGCACCCACAGCAATATTTCTAAGATGGAAACACCATCAGAACTACCCCTCCCCCTGCCCCCAAAATACACCTCCAAAATAAATTTACTTCTGATCTTAACTGTTGTGAGGTAGGAAATTCATTTATGATTACATTATAGAAGAAGCAAAGACTTTGTTAAATAGTAAATGTAGACATTTTATATTAATGCCAGATCTATTCAATGTGATGCTGGAAAGACAAGGATTATTTTTTGTAGTACATAAAGTAAAGAGGTATGGTTTAATCTAACCAAATAGTATTTGTGAATTTTTAAAGTAATCACATAGTCTTTTTATAATTAAGGTGCTTGATGAAGGCAATTTTATTGGCCTTGAGGTAGTTGTGTATTACCTGCCTGTTACTTGATAACACAAATTTCAAGATCCTTCTATTTAGACGTAACATCTCCTGTTGATGATACAATTTAAACATCATGTTGTAGTGTTATATATTGAGGTTGAAAAAAGAAAAATAAACACATGTATATATATTTAACAGTCTCCTCTCTGCCTCCTTGCAGTTGGTACCTGTGCTCCCATCCATGCTAGGGATCGGCCCTTATCCTTTCTGTGCTTTGTACAGTTTTCTCCTGCTAACAAGCTTTATTCCCTGCCTTCCTGGGACCCATTCCAGAATTAATTTTTTTTTAATTTTTTTAATTGACCCATTCCAGAATTAAACCATCCTGTGTATAAAACCTGCACATACCAACCCCTAGCAATTACTTGCCTCTCTGCCACAGGAAGCATTAGAAGCTGTATTTTGTACCAACTTAGTTAGTTCAGTTGATTTGCCATAAGTTTCACATCTTTGTATTTCTGTTGTGATTTTAAAAAAATAACATTACTTAAATTTTATGTTGATTATATCCATTATCTACTATCTCTCAGAAATTACAAATTGGGAGTTCTGAAGTTTTAAAACCAGGGTTTCAAAAATCCATACCGTTCTTCATGTAAAGTATATTTGTTTTGGGTCAAAAATAGTAGAGACTCTTGTAATCATTTTGATGAATATCAGAGACTCAACTCTTGACTTTTCTAGCTTTTCCCAATAAAGTGCCTGTTTCAGTTTTCCTTTTTCTTTTCTGCTTGTAGTGGACATTTGGGAGCAATAAAAATAAGAAGAAAGGAAAGGCCAGAAAAATAGAGAAGAAAGGAACCATGAAGAAACAAGCCAACAAAACTGCTTCCTCAGGCAGTTCGGATAAAGACAGTTCTGCTGAGAGCTCAGCCCCTGAGGAAGGTGAGCCAAGCAGCCCAGACCTAGGGGTGAACCCCCACTCTTGCCAGGTTGAAGCTACAGAGTCAGAAATGGGGGAAAGGGGCCTGCATTACAGCATCGCCCCTGCCTTTTTTTTTTTTTTTAAACGTTTATTTATTTTTGAGACAGAGACAGAGCATGAATGGGGAAGGGTCACAGAGAGAGGGAGACACAGAATCCGAAGCAGGCTCCAGGCTCTGAGCTGTCAGCACAGAGCCCGACGCAGGGCTCAAACTCCCAGACCGCAAGATCATGACCTGAGCCAAAGTCAGATGCTTAACCGACTGAGCCACCCAGGCGCCCCTCATCGCCCCTGTCTTTATTGCAGTGGTCCATAACCTTTTCAGTGGTCATGGATCCTTTGAGAATCTGAATGAAGCAAGGAAAACAGATACAATTCCAAAGGGTTAGTGAGACCCCTGAAGCCCATCCAGGAAACCTATGAGGACTTCCTGCATTAGAGTCTCAACCCACTTTACCCTGAGTGTATTCCCCTTTCTAATGTTTTTTTATTTTTGAGAGACAGAGACAGAGCAGAGCGGGAGAGGGCAGAAGGAATGGGAGACACAGAATCTGAAGCAGGCTCCAGGCTCTGAGCTGTCTGCACAGAGCCCAATGCGGGGCTTGAATCCACAGACAGCGAGATCATGGCCTGAGCTGAAGTCAGACACAACCGACTGAGCCTCCCAGGCGCCCCTTTCATTTCTTTTCCTTTACACATGCATAGTCTGGCCAGGGAGGAAAATCCCTGAACCAGATACAAACTCCGTTTGAAAAAAAAAAAAATGTTCTTGAGGCACCTGGGTGGCTCAGTTGGTTGAGCGTCCTACTTCAGCTCAGGTCATGATCTCACAGTCCATGAGTTCAAGCCCTGTGTCGGGTTCTGTGCTGATAGCTTAGAGCCTGGAGCCTGCTTCAGATTCTGTCTCCCTCTCTCTCTGCCCCTCCCCTGCTTTCTCTCTCTTTTTCTCTAAAAAATAAATAAAGATTAAAAAAAAATTTTTTTAATGTTCTTATTTTGAAATCAAGTCCAGAATTTTTGCTAATACTAGAATGAAAGTGAACTTGTTCCAAGACTAGAATGATAAACTTTACATTTCTTTTAAGAAATAACATGTATGTACAAACTGGCTTGTATAGAGTTAGTCCAACCTGGTTTTAAGCACATGCCTGTGAAGGTTTGCTCAAATTGAGTCAAGCAGAGTTCTTATTAAATTGCTGGTTTAACTTTATACTCATTTGTAACGTATACTGCCTTTTTCCATCGCCGCTTATCCTGTCAAGATCCAGTTTCATTGGGAATTCACCAGTCAGTGTCATGACTCATTAAAACCCTGAATTTTTTTAATGCTAACTAATAGATGTAGAAGAAATGATAGAAGATCACTGTGTTTCAACTATCATGGTAACAATTGCTTTACTTAAGAATTGTGAGTATTAAAACCACTGGATGAAAGTTTGTTGGAGAACAAGCTGTTTACACAGTCTCAAAGTATCTTCTTAACTTCAAAGGAGAAAAGGGTGCCTTTACAAAGGAAAAAATCTGGGGGCGCCTGGGTGGCGCAGTCGGTTAAGCGTCCGACTTCAGCCAGGTCACGATCTCGCGGTCCGTGAGTTCGAGCCCCGCGTCAGGCTCTGGGCTGATGGCTCAGAGCCTGGAGCCTGTTTCCGATTCTGTGTCTCCCTCTCTCCCTGCCCCTCCCCCATTCATGCTCTGTCTCTCTCTGTCCCAAAAATAAATAAACGTTGAAAAAAAAAAATTAAAAAAAAAAAAAAAAAAACAAACAAAGGAAAAAATCTGGGGGATACTACCTAACCAAGTAATCCAAATTACTACCACTACTAATAGAACAAACATGTCAGGTGCTTCCTGATGAAATATTTTAAAAAGATACTTTAAAAATCACTTATGGATTATTTCCAAAAATTTGTAACCTGAATAGTTTGTTGTTGAAACCAGCCAGCCCAAGTTGGAGAACATTTGACAACAGAATCCATTTAAATTTGAATTAGTTAAAAATTAAATAAAATTTAAAATTGAGTTTTTCAATTAGTTGTACTAGCCATATTTCAATTGCTCAGTAGCCACACGTGGCTTCTGTTCAGATAGACAGTATTTTCGTTATTACCTCACAGAATTTTCTTAGATAGTTCAGGCTTATACTCTTCAAAAATGCAATGGCATATGAGGCACCTGTCTGGCTCAGTTGGTAGAGCATGTGAGTCTTGATCTTGGGGTCATGAGTTCAAGCTCCACATTGAGTGTAGAGCTCACTTTATTGAAAGGGGGGGGGTGATGGGGCGCCTGGGTGGCTCAGTTGGTTAAACGTCTGACTTCAGCTCGGGTCATGATCTCGCGGTCCGTGAGTTCGAGCCCCGCGTCGGGCTCTGTGCTGACAGCTCAGAGCCTGGAGCCTGTTTCAGATTCTATGTCTCCCTCTCTCTCTGACCCTCCCCTGTTCATGCTCTGTCTCTCTCTGTCTCAAAAATAAAAATAAACGTTAAAAAAAATTTTATTAAAAAAAAAAGAAAGCGGGGTGATAGTGATTATCAACACTGGGTTGCGGGGTGGGGCAGGTCCTCTGTGTGGCCCTAGTCTTCTGTAGCATATCTTAATCTTGCGTTTCGGCCTTGTAGGTGAAGTGTCAGACTCTGATAGCAACAGCTCCTCCTCCAGTTCAGATTCAGACTCTTCTTCAGAAGATGAAGAGTTCCATGATGGCTATGGAGAAGACCTCATGGGTGATGAGGAAGACAGGGCCCGTCTGGAGCAGATGACAGAGAAGGAGCGAGAGCAAGAACTGTTCAACCGCATAGAGAAGAGGGAGGTGTTGAAAAAAAGGTAAGGTTGTGACTTCTTAATGATAAAATAATTCTCCAAAATTCACATTTGCAGCCCATCATCCCAGGATTCAAGACTTAGAACTTCTTATGATTTCTGAGTTACATATCTGACCATCTTTTCAGCATGGTTTATGTATTTTTTTTTAAAGTCTCAAACATTAAATTGCTTTTTGATAGTCAAAAGCTGCTTCGTTGTTTCCTGAATTACTTTTGCCTTATTTAAATGGTAAAAGTTCTTCCTTATCTCATAACAGAATCTCACGGTAAAAATAAACATGCTTTGGGGTGCCTGGCTGTCTCAGTCAGTGGAGCATGTGACTCTTGATCTCGGGGTTGTGAGTTCAAGCCCCATGTTGGGTGTAGAGATTACTTAAAAAAATTTTTTTAAATAAATAAATAAACGTGCTTTTTGTCTCTAGAGATAAAATTGTCCTCAGAAGTAGGAACCTTTTCTGCCTACTTAATGTCATGAAAGAAAAACAGAATTTGTTCTGATAGCAGTTAGTTCCATTTCATCTGGGAGCCTGGGTTCCCTTGTGGAGACCATATTAAGTATAGTAAGTTATCCTAAGCAAGAATGTTTGGCTTTCAGTCAGCTGCAAGTAATAGACATTTGTTTTGAGTATAAATGCTTCTGAGGTTACCTGTTTGGGAACAAACAGGACAGAAGAAACTGCTGGAATTGCCCAGATGGTTAGGGATGACTTAAAGTTTGTATTTCTTTACTGTAGAGAGCAGAGGGTCTTCTATAAGGCCATCAAAGCCCTATATTAAAATCACAAAGTAACTCGAGAGTAAGGGGTGGCTTATCTCCACTTGGTTTTTATATTTTTCACCTTATATGAATGAGGCAATTGACTGAGTCAGTGCCTTTTTTTAGTGACTAGAGGAAATGTTTACAGAAATGATAAATAAGATGGAAGCTCAGAGCCATACACAGAAAATGAGATTTTTTTTTTGTAGTTCATTTGTTCAGCTATATGACAGTGCAGTGGTGTAACTCAGTAACTTTCTCCTTTTCACTTAATAAGTCTTTATGTGGATCTCATTTAATCTTAATAACGATCTTTATATGTAAACACCATTAGCATCCCATTTTATAACCAACAGCACCAGTAGTGAGATCCTATGTTCAGTAATGAGATCCTTGTTAGGTTCTTCACCTATTGTAGGGCTGCCTCTTTTAAAAATTTTTTTGGGGGCGCCTGGGTGGCGCAGTCGGTTAAGTGTCCGACTTCAGCCAGGTCACGATCTCGCGGTCCGTGAGTTCGAGCCCCGCGTTGGGCTCTGGGCTGATGGCTCAGAGCCTGGAGCCTGTTTCCGATTCTGTGTCTCCCTCTCTCTCTGCCCCTCCCCCGTTCATGCTCTGTCTCTTCTCTCTCTGTCCCAAAAATAAATAAACGTTGAAAAAAAAATTTAAAAAAAAAAATTTTTTTTTGTTTAAGGGTGTGTAGGTAGCATAAAAGGCTCTGTGCTGACAGCAGGGAGCCCGAGTGTGGGGCTTGAACTCATAAACTGTGAGACAATGACCCAAGCCAAACTCGGACGCTCAACAGACTGAGCCACCCAGGCGCCCCAAGAGTCTTAGAGTTTTAGATCATTGATCCGTTTTTAGATCATTTTTTTATGTGTTGTGAGGTAGGCATCCAGTTTTATTCTTTGGCATCTAGGCATCCAGTTAGTCTCAATGCCACTTGAAGAGACTCTTCCTTTCCACAGTCTTGACAACACTTTTCAAAAATCAGTCCTTACATATATAGGTTTATTTGTTACCTCTCAGTTCTATTCTTTTTATCTGTATGTCTGTCTTATATGGTTTTGTTTACTGTAGCCATAGCCGTGTGGTCCATTTTTAACTTGGGAAGTGTGAGTCCTACAACTTTGCTTTTCTTTTTCAAAATTGTTTTGGCTATGTGGGGCCCTTTGCATTTCCATATGAAATATGTAATATCAGCTTGTCCATTTCTGCAAAAGTGAAAAAAGCAGTTGGGATTTTTACAGTTGGGAAATTGTGTTGAATCTGTATATATATCAAATTTGGAAATGTTGCCATCCTAACAATATTAACTCTTTCCATGAACCTGGTATCTTTCTACTTATTTAGGTATTCTTTAATTTCTTTAAACACTGTTTTACAGTTTTTGGTGTAGAAGGCTAGCACTTGTTAAGTTTATTCCTAAATGTTGTATTCTTTTGGATGCTATTATAAATTGAATTGTTTTCTTTGTTTCATTTTCAGATTGCTCCTTGTAATATATAGAAATACAGTTAATTATTGTATATTGATCTTTCCCTTCCAAACTTGCTGAGATCATTTATTAGTTTTTAGTAGATTCCTTTAGGTTTTCTATACATAAGATCATGTAATCTGCAAAAAAAGATAAATTTGGGGGCTTCTGGGTGGCTCAGTTGGTTAACGGTCCAATTTCAGTTTAGGTCATGATCTCACAGTTTGTGAGTTTCAGCCCTGAGTCAGGCTCTGTGCTGACAGCTGCGAGCCTGGAACCTGCTTTGGATTCTCTGTTTCTCTGTCTCTCTGCCCCTCCCCTGCTCACACTTTCTCCCTCTCTCTCCCTCTCTATCTCTCTCTCTCTCAAAAATAAATATTAAGACATTAAAATTAATTTTTAAAAATAAATTTTATTTCTTCCTTTCTAATATGAATTCCTTTTATTTTTCTTGTCCTCCTGTATCATGTTGAGGAGGAAGAGTGAGAGCATCCTTGTCTTATTCCTGATCTATGGTGGAAAGCGTTCAGTGTTTCATCATTAAGTGTTATATTACCTGTGGGTTTCTCATAGATGGCTTTTGTCCATTTGAAGAAATTCCCTTCTATTCCTAGTTTGCTGAGAGTTTTTATCAAGACAGGTTGTTGGATTTTGTCAAAAATTTTTTCTGGGTCTGTTGAGATAGTTGCGAGATTTTTGTGCTTTATTAATAATCGATATATTACAATGATTGATTTTCTTATGTTGAATCAACCTTGCATATCTGGGATAAATCCCACTTGGTCATGGTATATCATCCTTTTTATAAGTTGCTGGGTTTCATTTTCTGCTGTTTTGTTGAGTTTTATGTCAGTATTCATAAGAGATATTAAGCTATACTTTTCTTTTAATGTCATTGTCTCGTTTTGGTGTCAGGGTAATACTGGCCTCACAGAATGATTTGAGAAGTGTTTCCTCTTCTTTTTTTTTTTGAAAGAGTTTGTGAAGAATTGGTGTTAATTCTTTTTTAAATGTTTAGGAGGATTCTTCAGGGAAACCATGTGGGCATAAGCTTTTCTTTGTGGGAAGTTTTAAAATTACTATTTCAATCTCTTCTTACAGATCAGTCTAGATTTTTCTTTTTTTTTCTTGAATCAGTTTTGATGGTTTTTGGCTTTCTAGAGATTTTTCCTATTCCATCCAAATTACCTACTGTTGCCATACAGTTGTTCATAGTGTTCCCTTATGGTATCTTTTTTATTTCTGTATGGTTGATGGTGTTGTCTCTTGTTTCGTACCTGATTTTAGTAATTTGAATCTTCTGTCGTTTTATCTGAGCCAATTTAGATAAAAGTTTATCAGTTTTGTTGATCTTTTCAAATAGCCAACTTCTGGTTTCATTGATTATCTCTATTGTACTCCAATTCCATGTTTCATTAATTCCTGCCATAATCTTTATTAATTCTTTTTTTCTGCCTGGTTTACATTTAGTTTGCTCTTCTTTTTCCACTCTGTTAAGGTACAGGTTAAGTTACTGATTTGAAATCTTTCTCCTCCTCCTCCTCCTCCTCCTCCTCCTCCTCCTCTTTCTCCTCCTCCTCTTCTTCCTCTTCAAGTAAGCTCTATACCCAACATGGGGCTTGGACTCACAGCCCTGAGGTCAGGAGTCATGTGCTCTACCAATTGAGCCAGCCGGCCACCATCTTATTTTTTTTTATTATTATTTTTATTTTTTATTTATTTTTTTGAGAGAGAGCATGCGTACACACACCTGAGAGTGTATGAGTGGAGGAGGGGCAGAGGGAGAGAGAAAGAGAATCTTAAGCAGTAAATTCATTAACAGATCTCTTTTATATTGCCTTATAAAAGTACATTAACAGCCTTAATTATGAATGAAAAGGACATAACAAAAGAAATTTGTGTACTGTGTTAAAAATTAAGTTAAAAAATTGACGGGGTTATTTTAAAGGGTTATGGAAAGAGTTTAGTGTTTCTTATATTCCTTTATTCCTTCCATAATGTTCCTTATATTTACGTACAAAAAAATAGTTTTGTTTTATAAAAGCCTGATTTTTGTTATAGGAAAGGAGCCTAGATTACCATTTGTTAAAGACAATAGTATGTTTATTCATTATGTTTGCTGGTGTGGAGGTGGCGGTGTGGCATTTTTCCTAATGAAAGATGGAGAGTGGTGGGGTTTTTTTGCGCCCCCCTTTTTTAAGGTTTATTTATTTTTGAGAGAGAGAGACAGACAGAGACAATCCCAAGCAGCGTTCTGCACTGTCAGCACAGAACGCAATGTGGGGCCTCGAACTCACGAACTGTGACAACCAGACCTGAGCCAAAATAAGGGGGCGGACACTCAACCAAATGAGCCACCTAAGCACCCCTTGCTTTTGTTTTTGTTTAAAGATTTTATTTTTAAGTAATCTCCATACTCAACATAGGGCTTGAACTTACAACCCAGAGATCAAGAGTCTCACACTCTACTGACTGGGCCAGCCAGGCATCCCAAGAATGGTGTTTTTAAGATACAGCCTTTTCCTGAACACCTTTAAAATTTGACAGTGGCTCTCTGTGGTTTCATTCTGTTTCCAATAGGACATCATTACACTTATCCAGAAATCAACTGTTATGTGAAGGTTGAAGAAGAGCTATGTGTTACCAACAGGATACAACAGTATCCTAAATATTTTCTCTGATTTTAAGTCTATTCCAACTTAATGCTTTCAACTATGTTTGGTGTACTTAGGTTCAATATTTTTAATGTACTTATGAGGAACATTGGAGTTTTCTTGCAGGAAACCAAAAGTTTAACTCCTTCCCCCTAGGTAGTTCCTTTCTCGTATCTAATAGAAATCAGTTTTTGTAAATATTTCATTGCCATCTAAAAACCAAATACCTTTTAACCAGATTTGAAATCAGGAAAAAACTAAAAACAGCCAAAAAGAAAGAAAAGAAAGAAAAAAAGAAAAAACAAGAAGAGGAGCAGGAAAAGAAAAAGCTGACACAGATTCAAGAATCTCAGGTAGGAAATTCAGTGGTTCTTGCTTACCCAAAAAAATAAACCTCTGCTTTGAGTGTGTGTGTGTGTAAAAGATGGTTTTATTTTTTTTAATGGTTTTATATAAATCAGCCTAGTTCAATTAGTGCAAGACTTGTCTTCATCTTATAGGTTCATTAATCTCTGGACATACCATTTCACCATTAGCTGTGCTGTTCAATTCCTCAGGAATTGTTTACTCAAGTCTGCGTTTAAAAAAGGAACTCACTGCTGGGTGGGCATCCCTTAAGGGAAAGTTGATAAACGTCCTGTCCCAGGTAGCCAGATTGGTTATGATGTTCACTCAGGTATATGTCATCCTGGACTTGGTAATAAATGTAGCTGTGAAAATTAGTCGTCTCTACATTCATCACAAAAAGCTTTGTTGACAGTGTCAAAAAAAAATATTAGCTGTGATCTAGGGCGTCCTTCCAGAAAGTGTTTATTCCTATAATTCTTAGGTTTTCTGATTGTCGGGCAGGTAAGACGGGGGCTGATTTTACTGCTCTATTCTCTTTTTCCACTAGGGGATGCTCTCTCCCCTTAAACAAGCTTCAGTTTCTAGAGCCAGTATAGATTCACATTGGAAAATGGAATGATTAATCGTTAGGTATAGAGAATGTTGTCATTAGCTCTTAATAAAAAGAGCCATCCTACATATTTTTCCCTTCCCAGGTAACATCCCACAACAAGGAACGGCGTTCCAAACGGGATGAGAAACTAGATAAGAAATCTCAAGCCATGGAAGAGCTAAAAGCAGAGCGAGAAAAACGAAAGAACAGAACAGGTCAGTGGGGAAAATGTTGTAATGGCTACTTTGTGTCTCTCATTGTATGATTTGACTTTTTGGTGCCCATTTTTATGTCTCCCCCTTTTAGGACACCCCCCCTTTTTAGCTTTTTTTTTTTTTTTTTTTTTTTTTTTTTTTTTTAATTTGAGAGAGAGAGAAAGAAAGAGAGAACCAGGGGGGGAGGGATAGAGGAGGACAGAAGATCCCAAGCAGAATCCCACTGACAACAGAGAGCTCAATGCTGGGCTCGAATTCACAAACCATGAAGTCAGGACCTGAGCGGGAGTCAGACACTTAACCGACTGAGCCACCCAGGCGCCCCCCATTTTAGCTTTTTATTATGGAAAATGCTGAACACATACAGAGAATAGTATAATGAACCTCCATGAACCCATCATCCAGCTTCAACAATCAACTCATCACCAATCTTGTTAAATCTATACTCCCCTCTTTTATTGGGTTATTTTGAAGTAAATCACAGCATCATTGTATTTCACCCATAAATATTTCCATATGTGGCTTTAAAAGATAAAGACTCTTGTTTTAAGCATACTACAATATCCTTATCACATGTAAAAAATAGTAACAGTGACTCTCAGTATTCTCAATTATCTAGTCAGTGTTCAAATTTCTCAGTTGTTGTATCATTAATACAAATTTGGTTGTTTGAATCAGGATCTTAAACAAAATCCACACATTGTGATTTGTGAATATGTCCCTGAAGTCACTTAATCTGTATAGATTTTCCTATACATCTCTTTTTTTCCCCCTTGCAGCCTATTTTGAAGAAACTAGGTCATTTGTTCTATAGTTTCTCAGATGCTGGGTGCATCCCATCGGTGGTATTAAATGCATTGCTCTAATCTCTTGAATTTCCTGTAATTTCTAGTTAGAAAACTGGACAAATTCAGACTTGTTCTGTTTCTGTTTTTGTTTTTTGGGGGAAGGCTAAGTTTTAGGTGGTGCTACATTCTTCCATCAGGAGACACATAATATCTGATTGTCTCTCATTTTATGATATTACCAGCTCTATCACTTACCTTTTACCACAATAATGTGAAATGAAAGACTATTCCAAACTCGTAAGTACTCATTTGCTCCTGCTCATGCATCTGCAGTTCATCAGAGGGTTGCCTGATGTACAAGTTAGCCTGGATTGTCTCCAGGCTGCAGGTTGGGACCAGGTCTGTTATACCTATCTGTTTTTCCTCTGACCTCGGGCACATTTTTCTCATGATGATGATACCTAGGGCACATTCTTCTCATGGTGATGGCAGAAGTGTAATAGGGGCAGGCAGAAACATGAGATGCTTCTTAAGACCTTAGACTTGGAATTGACAGGCACAGTGTCAGGTGTGTGCATGTTTTATTGGCCAAAGCATGTCACATGACCAGGCCCATCATTAATGGCTGGGAGGACTATCAAGACATATGGCAAAGGGCATGGGTACAGAGAAGGGTGAAGAATTGGAAATAGTCGTACATTCTTTCCCCACAGCCACTGATAATCATTACCTAGCTGTTTTAATACATTATGAGTTACAAAATGATGATATTCTAATCTGTTATTCTTTCTTCATTTATTGTCTTCTTTCTTCACTTACCTCTGTAAACTTCTCATCAGCTCTTTAGTTATCATCAGGAACATTTTGTGTAGGAAAGGCAGAATAAATGGTTGATTTTTCTCCCCCTTTATTTACTAGTTTTCAACAGATTGAGATAGTACCTCAGCAACTTCCAGAGGTGACCAACGAGGTTTGTTTGCTTATTTTGAATATCCTTGTGAACTAATGGATTTAAACATACTTTTGTGTATTTTAATCCATTGCAATTATTATGTATTCTCAAATTGTCCCATCTTAGGGGCATCTGGGTGGCTCAGTAGGCTGAGCGTCCGACTCTTGATTTCAGCTAAGATCATGATCCCAGGGTTGTGGAATCAAGCCCCCCGTCGGGCTCCATGCTCAGCATAAGATTCTCTCTCTGTCTCTCTCTCCCTCCCTCTCCCTCCTCCTCTCCCTCCTCTCCCCCACTCATGCTCCTCTTGAGTGCTCATGCTACTGGATTGGTGGTGATTTCTAAGCCTTTTCAGTACACAGAGGTTGGATCTTTTTTCAAAGATAAATTTTATCCTTGTGAGCTTCATACTGATAAGTCCATTTCAGAATCAGAAAGCAGAAGTTTGTTTTGTTTTGTTTTGTTTTGTTTATAACTGTGTTATTGAGATATAACAAAGGTGGTATACTGTTTACTCATTTAAAGTGTACCAGGCAGTGGCTTTTAGTATATTCACAGAGCTGTGCAATAAAACTCCATAAACTTTACAATGTTTCATTACCCCAAAAAGAGACCTCCTATCCTTTAGCCATCACCACCCCCCAGACCTATCACTCCCCAGTCTTAGTCAACCTCTAATTGGCTTTCTGTCTCTGTAGAGTTGCCTATTGTGGACATTTCATATAATTAGAATCCTATGACATACAGTCTTTTGTGTCTGGCTTTTTTCACTTGGCATAATTTTTTCCAGATTTATTCATGTTGTAATATACATTGATTCATTAATGAATATATGCGTTTTGTTTATCCATTCACCTGTTGATGAACATTTGGGTTCTTTCCACTTTTTGACTATTAAGGATAATGCTTCTGTAAGCACTTGAGTATAAGTCATTGGGTAGACATATGTTTTCATTTCTCTTGGGTATTTACTTACGAGTAGAATTGTTGAAGCATATGGTAGCTCTGTGTTTGAGAAACTGCCAGACTCTTTTCCAAAGAGGCTTCACCATTTTGCATTCCCACCAGCAATGTATAAAGGTTCTACTTTTTCCACATCTTTACCAGGACTTGATTGTCTTTCTGAATATAAGCCATCTTAGTGGGTATAAAGTGGTACTTCAGGGGCACCTGGGTGGTTCAGTCAGCTAAGCGTCTGATTTCAGCTCCGGTCATAATGTCGATGTTTGTGAGTTCGAGCTCCACGTCAGGCTCTGTGCTGACAGCTCATAGCCTGGAGCCTGCTTTGAATTCTGTGTCTCCCTCTCTCACTGCCCCTCCCCAGCTCGCTCTCTCTCTCTTCCACTCAAAAATAAATAAACATTAAAAAAATTTCTTGGGGGTGCCTGTGTGGCTCAGTTGGTTGAGCATCTGACTTTGGCTCAGGTCATGATCTCACAACTTGTGAGTTCAAGCCCCGTGTCAGGCATGGAGCCTGCTTCGGATTCTGTGTCTCCCTCTCTCTCTGCCCCTTCCCCACTCGCATTTAGTCTCTCTGTCTCTCAAAAATAAATAAAACAAAATTTTTTTTTAATTTTTTTAATAAAAATAAAAAACAAAGTGGTGTTTCATGTGGTTTTGATTTGCATTTTCGTAATGATTAGTGCTTTTGAGCATCTTTTCATGCACTTATTGACCATTAGGGTATCTTTTTTTTTTTTTTTTTTTTTTTTTT